GGGGTGTGGGGGGGGCACACGGCAAGCAAGCGCATGTGACGGAGGCGTGGGCCAGGCACAGGCGTCAGGCCCAGACCTGGGGGACACCCCGTATGCTCCCCACCCCCATTTCTCCGCCCTGCATCCCTTCCACAGGGACCTGTGGGACACACGTCTGTTCGACAAACATTGCTTTCTGGGCTCCTTTTGCCCCAGGGGATAACGTAATGGGGTGACACCGCCCCCCCCCACCCAACCTGGAAGCTCTGCGGCACAGGAGGCGCCGGGCACCAGACGGACACCAGATGGCGTGGCCAAGGCCCAGACGCAGACTCCCGTGGGCTCCACAGGGGGCTGGGCTGCACCCCGATCTGCATCGCTAGTGACCAGACGGGTTTCTGGCGCTGTGAGCTCGCGACCCCCGTCTTTATCGCGGGACGCGTTTTCCAGCTGCGCGGGACACGGGTGTTTAGACGAACCCCGTCTGGAGCCTGAAGTCCCGTGCCGCCGACAGCTCCGTGTACGGCTGTCACTCCCCGGGCCCTGCGCGGCCGTGGGCGCCGCGCGCAGCCCCGCACCAGGCCTCTCTTCCCGGAAACGTTTATGTCCCTCGCCCCCAAACTCAGCACTGACCTCGCGGGCCGCCGAGTTCTGGGGACGCAGCTGAAACTGTGATCTGGCCCTAAGGACTTGTCACGTGCCCGCCCACCCGCCGGCAAGCCGAGGGGCCAGCACTCAGCTCCTCCCGGCAGAGTCTTAAAGACAAAGCCACACGTCCGCGTGCCACGTCCCTCGCCACAGCGACGGTAAGGCGACACGCACGCGAAGCCCCGTGCCTGGCGTGACCGCCCCCAGCTCCGCCCCCAGGGCTGCAGCTTCACGCCGAAGCGGTTGTTCTAAATGAGCACGGCTTCCCGGAGTCCTTAACCACTCAAATGACACCACGGAGTCAGTATGCCATCTTGTAAAATTCGACATTTGTCTCATCCTTTCTACTAGCAAACAGCTGAAGCAGACATACGACGCCACTGCCGTGTGAACGTGGTGTCTTCGAAGCACCAGGCTCGAGTGTCTGCGGCTGAGTGTCATGGAGCCGCTGCAACCCCCCCCCCAATGTCCTTGCCTCCCCCACAAATGAGCGAAGGAGAAACGTGAAAGGTGATGTTTTAAAAAGTCTGTATTCAATTATCACACCAAAGGATCTCCATGAAAATTATGAACATCTCTGAATATATTTCGTGTATCGTACATATATATACTTCGTATGTATAATTACATATCGACAACGGGTTTCTTGCCGCTCCCCAGAGCACGTGAGGAAAAGGGAGGCAGGTTTCGCGACGCGTCGTCCGCATGTGCACGTGCTCCGGCCGTCTGAACCGAGAACTTATTTACAACGTGCCTTAGGTTATCACCGGTGATTCCTGTTCTATTATACAAACGTAACAGTGAAGGTTTCTCTTCAACACAGAGACGGTGAATGAATACATGAAAAACTTACACACATGTACAATATTTATAATTCATAAATGCAAAGTTAAGACCTGTTATTGCACTTGCGGATTTTACAAAGATTTTTCTATGCCACACATATAAAATGAATTTTTAAAACTCGCTCATCGACCACCATGAAGTCAGACACTGGTCACTGGAAATTCTCCCTCCTTCCAAAAGGGAGCCCCCCGGCATCCCGGAGCACACCCCTCGACCCCACACGCTGGGTCTGACATTGGGGACCTGTGTGACGGCGCCCGCAGTCTTCGGTCGCAGGGAGGTGATTGCCAAGCGAGGTAGGGACACAGGATCTTTTGGTCATACGGACTTGTAAAGAAAGTCACCACATCCTCCCAGAGTCGAGATGCTGCCTTTCTACACATTTTGGTAGTGATTTCACAGTGTTTTGGGCACGCGCGTGATTTCGGGTGGCTCACTGGGTTGGATGCGGTGACTGGGTGGGGACATTGTTTAGCAATACCTCCTACAGATGAATCTATTGTACCTTCTGATTGCACACTACATGGAGACATAGAATACACACCACACAGCAGACCGTATGGAGAACGTCCCCATGTGCCATTTACACAGGCTGTGTGAGAAATGGCACAGGGACGGGTATTAGGTGACTAAAGAAAAAAAAAAGCTGCAATGCCCATCACATAAAAATACTTCAGGTGGGCTAGGGTACTAGCTAATACACTTCAAAACTCAGTTTACAGTAGGGATACAAACTTTCAACTTCTGCAAATACACAGTACCTCAAAAATATTAGCCCAAAACTGACACATGTACACGGACTTCTCCACGGGGCGGGCTGCATGCGGCTGAATCTGTGGGTGACACTGCCTGTGCCCGGCAGAGCCAGGCCCGGACCCGGGCCCGATGCTTTCGCTCACGTTCCCTGTTCCCTGCCTCCTCCTGGCTGTGAAGAGAGGTGGAAGGATGCTCTCAAGCCCACACCCCGCCTTCCTCGGGGGTCGGGGGGAGCTGAAGGGCTGAGTGAAGACAGGAACGCTTCTTCAGCTTTGAAACATGTTTCTTGGGAAACATTAACATCTTTTTCTCTGTTCCACTTTTTAAAATTTGGAACCAGAATACCATTGAAACTTTTTTTTTTTTTGCGATTTTTATCATCATATAAATGCACCTAATGCTTCAGATAACCAAAACATCCAGTTAAAAAATGACAGAAACAAAAAGTGTGTGTACAGCATGGGTATCAATAATTTAAACTTAAAGTAAGTCTTTAAAGAAGTCGGCAAAGTGTGTACCAGGATAAATATTTATGCGAATGCAAAAATGTATAACAGCCATGTGCCACTGACAAGCATGGGGAAAAGTAACCGTTAGCATACCTGGCTAATTTACATTTTCCAGTGATTTAAAAATCAGACTGATACTTGCAAGAGAAGGAATACGCTAATGTGACTAAAAGTATTAAACCCTGAATCAGCGAAGTGTAGAAAGCAAACACTGAAGGGCTGAGTGAAGACAGGAACGCTTCTTCAGCTTTGAAACATGTTTCTTGGGAAACATTAACATCTTTTTCTCTGTTCCATTTTTTAAAATTTGGAACCAGAATACCATTGAAACTTTTTTTTTTTTTTTGCGATTTTTATCATCATATAAATGCACCTAATGCTTCAGATAACCAAAACATCCAGTTAAAAAATGACAGAAACAAAAAGTGTGTGTACAGCATGGGTATCAATAATTTAAACTTAAAGTAAGTCTTTAAAGAAGTCGGCAAAGTGTGTACCAGGATAAATATTTATGCGAATGCAAAAATGTATAACAGCCATGTGCCACTGACAAGCATGGGGAAAAGTAACCGTTAGCATACCTGGCTAATTTACATTTTCCAGTGATTTAAAAATCAGACTGATACTTGCAAGAGAAGGAATACGCTAATGTGACTAAAAGTATTAAACCCTGAATCAGCGAAGTGTAGAAAGCAAACACGTTTAAAATACATAAAGATAGAAGTGATTTTCAAAATCTCAATCATGCATATGTACCTGAAACCCAACAAAATCACATCGTAATCAGCGTCACAGTTCCTGGAAGTTGAGAAGGAGGAGTCTGAGCAGGCTGTTGGCTGGAGTCTCAAGGGCATGTGCGGACGAAATCGAATCAAAGAAATGAGCGCACGGCACCCCCCACCTCAACCTGACAGCGTTAACCAGGGACGCGTCCCTCTACATGTCAACTACAGTCACGCAAGAAAAGCAAAAGGAAAATATGAATGAAGAAAATTACAGTATTTAAAATAAAGGCACAGGCCAAGGCATGGCGAAGAATTGAGTCCTATTTAAAGCTCAAACCTTAATTTTGAGTTAAAAGACCAGAAACATGACACTCGAAACTAAATATATTTAAAAACCCAGGTGGCCAAGGATTTGTGTATTTATATGCATCACGTACAAACATATGTAGTATGTTTGAGCGTAATAATAAAGCAAAACTCATATTGATGGTACAAAATTTTTTAAAAATCTAAAAAGCATGCTAAAAAGAGGAAGCCTACACTAAACAAAGCTAGTTTCGAATTAGCTGTTTTTGTCACCGGGAGAACAAATCACTTCGAGTAGCATCGTGACCATCTGCACAGATCTGAGAGAATCTTCAGGAATAAGTGAGGACCACGGTTTCTTTTGCGTTTCTTGGAAATCACTAATGCTGGGAAGCGGGTCCCCACCCTTGCCCTAGTAAAAGGGCCATTTATTGAGAATGACTTTCCGTATCCATTGTTTTTTTAAATTTTTTCTAATTAATTAAACCACAGTCAACTTCTAATTAATAACATGCTTATATTTTATGGAATTTTATTCCACTGCCCAAGTTCTATATTTCATGTTGCTGTTGGCATGTGTTTTCAAGAAAATTTCTAGTCAAAAGTATATTCGCTGTCTCTGGAATATAATGGAATACTTGCATTTGACAGTAAAACTGTCTCTATTATAAATCGGCACAACCAATGGAAATTTCTGCAAACTGAACATTCTACTCATACTCACAGATGGTTACCAAATTTACTGAACAGGAAAATTTGGCCCAATATAAAATACCACCTTATTGAGACATGCATCAAAATTTTCAGTAATAAAAACCATCTGGCCTTCTAAGAAAAGATTTGGGGAAAAGACTAGAACAGAACTCAAACGTTGGTCTGATAAATACACGCCGAAATACAAAAATATGCCTAAATGCATTTTTTTTCCCCCCCAAAAACGGACTATTAAGTATTCGCTTCATCCTGGGCCCTTTTATTTTAGGTAAATTTGTGATTCTTAAAGTAAATCTTATGGTAAAAGCAGTATTCATATTTACATTAGAATGCAGTCCTTTGCTCAAGTCCTTTGCTTCTATTATGACAATATTTCACAAGAAATCAACCAACCAATAAATCCACACACATTTCTTTGGGAAACTGTTCAAAGTAGAGGTCACATAATGTAATGCCTCTGGCTATCCAGGAATAAAGGAATGTTCTTTAATCATCGTATCAGAACAGCAACCTTAAAATGCAAAGTAGCCACAGGATGTCTCTATTTTCCATATCAAGAATCGGAATTCATGCACTTTTAAAATCCCTTCAATTAGAAAACGGTCTTAAGTGATACTCACCACACCCCCTGCCAATTCAGTCTCCAAGTTAGATAAGTAAATTCCCTTTTGTGATTGAAGTTGAATTTGGTGGGGTCGTTTGGTAAATTTGGATGCAGGAAAATATGAAACTCCTTGAATCCAAGTCTATAAACACACTAACTGGAGAAAGGCTGCTTTCTAGTCAGCTGTTTACCAACAGCATCTATCCCCAGCACAAAAAATCACTGTTTCTGAAGAATGCAGCTGATTGTTATTTTTCATAGATGTGCTTCGTTCTCTCACACGTGTGTCTAAATACATCTGTACATGTACACACGTGCATGTGCACACAGCCGCGCACACCATACGTGTGTGTGTGTGTGTATCTAGCCACAGTGGTCTCTCTCATTTCATTTTACCTTATATTGTATAATTACAATAGGAAATGGGGCTCCACAGAGGGAAGATGGCAGCTTGCAGAAGCCCACAATGAAATCGAACACATAGTGTTAATTTTAAAATAAGAACAATGTTTACGTATAGCTAACTTTGCTACAACGTAAATAAACCATGTTGTGGAAACAACTGATTTATTTTTGCAAAGAGCAAGCTCATGTGAACAACAGTGTGTACAGTATTCAGTATGTAGAATGTTTAAAAGTTTATTTTATTAAAAGTGTCATTCCAGTTTCCCGCCATGGTGAGTAGTGGCTAAGCTACTTGTCCTGGGTCAGCCGGTCACGTGCTGTGACTCTGACTCCTTCAGGGCAGGGCTAAGCACGGTTTCAGGTCACCGGGGTTGCTGGCTCACCACGCCAACAACCGTTACAGCACTGACATGCACCAGAATTGACTGGCTTATCACCCTTGCAGGCGGGGGTCCAGACAATTACTTTCGTGTATTTTCTCAAAACAGTAACACTGTGGAGTAATACCGTCTACCAAAAAATATACAGAGGAAACGCTCCAAATCTTCTTTGCAGATTTTGGATCTGGAGCAAAGTAAGGAGCACGGAAATGAGCTACGACAGGACTGCACTGTCCTCTGTCGTGGACAGAAGGCACACGAGCTGTGACTGAGTAGCACAGGGAAGGAGGGAAGGGCGGGGTGAGGCTGCAGACCGAAGTAAACGTTACAGAAGACTTAGAGCTTGTGGTTTAATTTGACTTTACGAGAAATGCATGTTATTTTAATGAAATAATTTGTAGAATAAATCTTTCATTTTGAATGTGAATCTAGTTTTGCAATGACATAAAGTGAAAGTATAAAGAAATCATTATTAAAAATTCACATTTTATATCCATGAGACTTGTCCATTAAAAAACTTCATATGCCTTGCTTTTATTTTGTTCTGTATGCAAATGTTTATTAAATTTGCCAAGACTGCAATGAAATTTTTTTAAAAGATCCTTTGACATCTGAACTGATACTTAGGCGTCTGAGATTCGTCATGATGCTGTCTGCAGCTCTGCTCGACAGGACAGGTCTGCTTCCTTCCTTCCGTGTTCAGGTCACTTACCCCAGCCCTTAAATAGAAATGCAAGGAACACGCCTTAGACCCTGACTTTTAATCCACGGAGCTCTGAACAAGAATCTGACCACTTTCTATCACTGATCGCCAAGACACTTCTTGCGCTGTAACCTCGATAATGGGCCTGAGGCTGTCTGCTTACAAGGGGTCACCATGAACGGTCACAATAGCAACGTACAAAAATTCCTATTTATAACCAGCAACATGGAAGCGACATGGTGTTGGAGCCACGTACACCATCACAGAACCACTTTAGACCCCAGCAGATGGATGCTGCGGGCAAGCGCCCTCTGAACCGCCTATGCCTGTTCCCACAGGGCCTTGGCAACAGCAGCCTATCAGGAAAGGCCAGTTCGCAAGTCAGGTGGAGTCACGCGAACAGGTGGCTTCTGGTCCCGGGTGGTCCCTGCTGGTCACGGTCTGTGATGCACACCAAGGAGACTGGCAGGTTTACTTGGTGTGACTTTCTCGAAGAGGCTTGCATCCGGTTACCAGGTGTAGGTTCCCCACAAAATAAAAGGAAGGGAAGTCAGAGAAGCGAGGCGAGCGTCTGCAGGGGCGGGGGGGGGGGACGAAGGGGACAGTCCCTCAGCAGCCATCAGTCATCAATCTTCAAGGGCAGCTTCTCAGAGGTCCCCGGGGCCACCGGCTGGGACGAGATCCAAACGGCCGTCTCCTCCCCTCGGAGGACCTTCTCCCACTGGCTGAGGTTGTCCCTGGGGATAAAGGGAGATGGTGACAGGCGACGTTCGGGGAGGCTGCCTGGGCTCTGTCGCCACACTCGGCCACCCCGTCCTGAGCCTGACCGTGGCGGTGTAGGCTGTCGTTCCAGCTCTGCTGGGGACCAGCGTGCTGGGGCCGGGGAGCCTTCCAGTGTGCCCTGGCCTGGATGCCTCAGCTCAGTGTCCCCAGAAGAGCCTCGAACCAGCACAGCATCTTGCCCCGCCAGCTCCAGACCACAAGGGCAGAAAGGCAAGCGAGGCTGGGGACAGGCCACGTCTTACCCAGGCAGAAGGGTGACCGGAGGAAGGGAGAGCACATGGGCCACGCTGCTGAGGACCAGGTGGGCTCCGCGGGAGGGGGCGAGGGCACTCGGCCGCGTCACCACAGCCCGGGCATCCGCCCTGGCCCCCATGCGGGTGTGGCTGCAGTCACCGCTCCCGGAGGCCAGCTCCCTGCAGGAAATGGACTCACTCGGGCCACACCACCTGCCACCCTCACTATCCCCAGCGCGGCCTGCTTGTCAAAGTGAGATGAAAACCTTTAAAAATCCCCGAGATGTTTTAACTAAGGCCAGCCCTCCACAACGGTGACGGACGGGAACGCAGAAGTCCGAAGCTGGAACAGGTAACGGGTGGTTACTATTTCTTTTGGGAGGAAAATAAAACTCAAAGAGAAAGAAGACCCCATTCAAGGTCCCCCCTCTTCCATCTAAACAAGAAACTGTGACTTAAGGGGGCCCCTCCCCCTACGAGCGCCCCGAACAGACAACGCTGCCCTGTGTTTTAAACAGCAGCGGGTAGCGATCTCTGTTTCATTAAAAACAAAAACAGAACTTGCTCCTTCTCGATGAATGAATAGCTTCGTGGGTAGATGGTACCTAGGCCACACACTGCCACACAGCCGCACAGCCGCACAGCCGTGATGGTCGATGTCAGCCATCCGGAGGTCACGCGCACCCCGGACGCCGTGAGACCCCGCAGAGCCCGGCGACTCGTCACGCGCCGTCACGTACCTGCAGGCCTTCAGGAGCGGCTCGGTGGGCGGGAAGATCTGGGTGAGCGTGGTGTAGCAGGGGATGGCCACCGCGTTGTAGAAGCCGAGCTGTCCCCGGAGCCACCGACAAGAAACACACAGCACGTTAGCAACTCTAGAGCCCACACGTCTCACGTCGTTTGCGGCTCGGGCCCGACTACAGAACTGAACGCTCAGGTGGGCTGTGTGAGCGCTACTGCAACCCCGGAATAAAGCACATGAAACTTAAAACGTAAACCAGCCCCCCGAGAGCCCACGTGCAACACCTGGCGAGGGTCTAATCGTAGACGAGCAAGGTGTAGTGCATGCCACACGCTCGTCTCTGGTCAAGGTCAGTGCTCCACGCAGACGCCCCACGCTCAAACCCACCAGCCCGCCCCACGGCGACCCCGTCCAAGCCACGGTTCGCAAGTGCCACAGGACACGTCGCAGTTTGACCTGCTGGCTCTGGCCTGTGGTTTGGGCTCCTGAGATTTCCTTCATCGCCCCTCGCTCCTTGTTTGGACCAACCAGAAATCCCACTGGCTTTGTCTGAGTTCTCTCACTATGTCAAATTTCAGTTTTCCATCTGTGGCACTTTGAAAAGTATGTTCAAGGACATCTTGTTAGGAGTTCTGGGCCACTGGGCACAGAAACGGTGCCGGCTCCGACTGGCCCACTGCAGGCGGAGCGTGAAATCTCTGCGTGACCACGAGCCACCGCAGGCTGTCCAGCCACTAATAACCGCCCAGTGGCTGACGACACGGACAGGATCAACTGACTCCCTGGACGAGGTGACCCCCAAACCTTACCGACCAATCCCTTTGAAAAACCTGAACTTCAATGAGATGAGCTAACGGGGACAGAAGGGTCGAGTCTACGTGGGTTTTCCTGCTTTCTCCTCTGCAAAGGTCATGACAGAACCATGCCCAGCACGGCCCTCTGTCTGGCTCAGGCAGGGACCTTCTCGTTTTAACATTTAGCAGACGTCATGGAGCAGAAGATCTTGGGAAAGAGACCGCTTATGGGAAAGCGGAGTATTTTATTATGGTGCCAAAGAGTAATTTCGCAGTAATCACAATTTAGAAGGAATTGTAGTTCGTAAAATATCAGCTGATGACAGAAGTATTTTATTTAAAACTCTCTCATACTGTAAACGGATCAGGAATTTTGGCCAAAAAAAAAAACGTATTCTCTTAATTAAATAACACAAAACAGCGCCGACACTGGCATTTTCAGCTACACCACGTATCGTGTCAGGATGGCTGCTTCACTGTCTAGAAAAAATACTGTTAGGTCCCCATCTTAAACCATAAAACAGCATCCATCCCCAGCAGAAAGAGTACAGACACACAGCAAATGTTTACACAATCTCAGGAGGGCAAACCTTCCACGGTAGGACACGAAACACACACAGCAGACAGGAAACACGGTTCTGGCGACCACACGCAGCGGAAAGTTGCATGGACACTGTTAGGGAGCAAACAGGCTGCCAAAAGCACATGTAGCGCGTGTGCCAGGCACGCCAGCCGCACGCTCACAGGGGGAAGAGCGATGCGCCTCCCGTGGGAAGCGGGCGGAGGACGATGAGGATGTGGGAAGCCATCCTCGGAGGCCACGGGGACGTGGAGGAGCCCCCGGGGGCAGAGCGCCTGAGCGTCTGCACTAACAGTTAACATGTGCACTTCAAAGAAGCCAGGGAAACCTGAGAATTTAGCCAAAACCACCACCATCCTGTGAGTCTTCTGAAATTATTCCTACCCTGAATCCTATATTATAATTATCTGTCCAGAACTAAGTTCCTTATTATGACATCGGTAGTTTAAAAAGCCATAATGTAAGAAGTTCATGACACCGCACGTGAAAACTAACAAGACACACGTGCTCTCAAAACATTAAACTACTAACATATGTCATGTACTGAAGACCTGGAAAGGGAATAATTAATGTCGATTTATGGTGAGACAACACTCAGAATGTACTAAAATACTATGCATCATTTGTTAGGAAAAGTGAAGCCAATCGAAATCTGTCTCATGCTCCAAAAAAATACATTTATGTTCTCAATGAAAAAAAAAATGTTTTCTGCTTGTTTAAAAATATTAACAGTTCAAATTCATCCACCCCCTAATTCAAGTTGGAAAAGAATGCCTATTAATGTAATCACGTCCATAGGAGGCAGTGACGGCCGGGCTGGCTGTGCCTCAGGGTGTCCGAACTCCATCTAAGGGGACAGGGTGTGGAGTGGCTCTGGGTTCGACCCTCTGACCACTAACTGCTCCCAGCCCACAGCACGGCCACGCTCCCAAGCTTCCAAGGTCAGCCTGAGCCTTGGGAACGAGAGCAGAAGTCGCGGCTGGCCCTGCCGGGCTCCGCCAGTCTGCTTCGCCACAGAGCGCCTTTCCACGTGCAGGCTTGTGTCAGTGCTGACGGACACGGGCACAGGGCTGTGTGCGTTCCAGTTCTCGGCCCCTCTAAGGTAAATCACTAGTTTCTGCACTAATCACCGGACCTGGCATGGCCCACCCACTGTACATAAAACAAAAGATGGTAACATGCTTTTTACCGATATGATTTGACGGTCACCTTAAACGATTTGACTTTACCGCATAATCCGTACCTGGCCTTGTGGGACCTCATCCTTCTTATCTCTGTCCATCATAGGGATAGGCTGTATTCCCAATTTCTTCATTTCATCACCCTGAAATAAGTGGGGGAAAATCATGCCTTTTCAACTTAGAAACAGTTATAAAATTACGGTATTCCCTCTACTCATGAATTGTCTTCGAAATGAATCATGTTTTTGATGACTGACATCCCAAAAAGTCAAAATACTAAAAAACTTATTGTATCATTGTTTGTTTTTAATTCGGATGTTCTCTTGCACCAAATTATCAGAAGCCCAGCCATCTCTTGGTTTCATTTTGCAGAAGTTATAATAAGAGGAGACATAGTAAACAGTGAAGACAAAAAACATAAAAAATAAAAACATGGAATAACCTCAAGGCCCTTTCAGACTCCCTTTCCAAATAATTTTTCATGTGCACTGACCTGGGTGAAGCTAGGCTTTGGAGAAGAATTCTGATAGATCAAGAACAAACAAGTCTGCGAAGACACATTCGTGACGATACAGTATAATGGGCTGTGAATCACCATAAAGGTTAGAACTATGGATGTTCACTAAAGATTTACTACGTTGCAGGCTCTGGGCTAAGTAACTCATAAATGTTATTTCATTTAATCTTCATTGAATACAATGAGCCAGATATTATTATCTGCATTTTATAGATTTTAAAATTTATCTTATTCTATTTGTTAAAGATGGTTAAAATCTTCTTCCTTAACCTTTCTTAATTCCCCCTAATACGTCACTCTTCCCTCGTTTATTATTTTAGTATTTTATTTTCAGAAATAAAATAATACATTGTATTATTTTGTAAAATAAAAATAGTATTTTGTTTTCAGAAATCAGCAGTACAGAACTAACATCCTAGATCTGCTGAGACAGGGTCTAGAAACGAATCGTTATAACATTATAACCCTCACTAGGAATTTTACGTACAGGACAAACCACTTGTCCCGACAACCTGAAGGCTCTAAAGATTAGCTTTTACGTTACTTATCATTTACCCTCAGGCAACGTGACGCCGAGAGCACACTCTCCACTGCTATGAGACTGGGCCCCTGGGACTCTCACGCTGATCCAGCCCCCGCTGCTGAAGCCTGAGGCGGGGGCTGGAGTGGAGACAAGAATCGGCTTCCCAGGTATCTACCAGGTCAAGTGGCAGGGCTGGGGGGTCGCATCCATCCCTCCACGGACCATGAGGGCCTCAGCGAGGCCATCTAGAAGCACACTGGGAGCTGAACCAACCATGTGGCCGTTCGACCAGCGAGGGATGGAAAGGGGAAGAGTATACAACACACACGCGCCACATTTCGATTCATATTTTAAAATACACAGTTGTTAAAGTATAAAATACAATAGTTATATAAAGTTACTTCCAAAACAGGAAGCTGGCTCAGACCCATTTTCTCATGTGATATTTACAGAATGTATTCTCCAGACTGTTACTTTTAGACATGAATGCAGATTAAGTTGACTCTGATAATAAAGTCAAATATTGTAGTTCAGACACGTACATCTAAAACTTCTTAACTGAGTCTGGAGTTAACTAGGTTCTTGCACACGCACACGCACATGCACGCACACATACACACATGTGCACATACACGTACATGCACACACATACACACTAAAATAATACCCACTCAAGAGCATGCACACACATGCATAAGGCATTCTGGAGAAGCGACACCCTGAGCATAATCAACTCAAGGCTTGCGGTAAACATGCCACATGACAGAAACTCCTCGGCTTTACCCCTATTCAACGCCCTAATCGTCCCAACTAAACTTCAACTGAACATCGTGCTGGTTTTCACTTTTCACATACGTCCTCTGTGTGGCTAAGACACACAGTCTGAATCATCAACTATCCAGATCGCTGCCCTCCAGATCTACTGACTTCTTCAAACCCTATGAGGTGCCCAAAGGGTTTGTAGCTTGTGCTATTTCGTAACCTTTTAATATGCACAGATCTAGGTATTTGTGGATTAATCTGAACAAGAGAACTGTATTCTACTTACTCATGGACAGTTCAGAAAGAAAATTGAGGCGTAAAACACATGTTTCTGATGATTTAGGTATCTCGGGCAAGAAAAGGTGTTAGTGAAAGTAATTTACGTGTTTGCTTCGCATGTCAGGTGTATCGTGAATTAATATCCCGCAGTCTACAGGACTCATAATTTGCTGTTAAACCATTTGGCATATTTACATGACCTTACACGTCTGTGCTACAAAATCACGACTCTCTCGAATTTCTAACTGCAGGCACAGAGAGTCCACTGTGGGATCTGCCGCAAACCACCTCAGCGCCTGCTTTCAGTACGTGACCAGTAATGACTTCTGAATGAACGAACAAGGGATTAACTATTAAATAAGGGAAAACGCTGCACTGCTGTCCGGCGAAGAAGTTCCTCAACTCTTTTGGTTGACAGCAGAGAATTTACACACATGTTCAAGTCCGAAGTGACAGAATGTTCTCCTGTGTCTGTGTAAATGCTACATTCTTCATCATATGTGATTCACTATAGTTTTTCTGAAATGAATAGTAACGTGAACTAATATATTACTAAAATCATCCACACATTTGTCACGTCTTCAATTTTTTCCCTACTTCTTGTTATTATCTATAGTCATTCAAAAATCAAGGACATACCTCAGCCCAGAATTCTGCGTATATGTCATTTGCTGTCAATTTTGTAACTGGCCACAGTTTTGTCACAGAGCAAAGATCACAGGCAGTCATCATCAAGCCGATGACACGGTCCCTAGAACACAGTAACAGAAAAGCTGGTCAGCACGGCATCTGCATCTTCGTAAGGAACGCAAGAGGCTTCAGCATCTCCAGGTCGGGGCTGAAGGAGGTTGGACTGCACGGAGGGGGCGCGGCCAGGACAGGCAGCGCTGCTGTGACGGCGACAGCATCAGCCACTCCCCGCCCGGTTCCCTGAGATCAGATGCTCCTGCCGCCTCGGGACCCTGGAGAACCAAGTCCAATGTTACCGCCTATACCCGCTGGCCGGCTCTACAGCCCTGGGCCGGCTTTTCGTTTTCGTGGAATTTTGGAGATTTGGGATGGGAGGAAGCTTTGAAGAGAAAGTCAGGCCAACCCCTTCATCTCACAGAAGGGGATCCTGAGGTGCGTGGGGTGCAAGGAACACCCCCTTACCCACCCCCCGCCACAGTGGGAGGCAAGGTGACCACAGCGCAGCTGCCCCGTCTGCAGTGTCCAGGGCGTGGGCTCCGGACAGGCCACCAGTGCCCCCCGCCCATTCCCGACTGAAATGAGTCTCGTCTGTCGGCTGCTCTGCGGCCGTGACTACGTGTTCCAGGTCTGACTTAAAAATGTGGTTTGGTCTGATCTATCCTCTCGAAGAAAAATAAAAATTGCTTAAAGAATTCAGCCAGAATTCTTTGTGATATCTCTGAGACATCGCCCTCACAGTTTTAACGGATTTGGCCCAGTGACACGTGCTGCCCCCGACGAAGTCTAAACTTGACAGCGCTAAGCACTGGCCAGAGAATTTTAACACACTGAACTCCATTTTTATGAAGCAAATGATGTAACTTAAAAGGCAAACTGTCAAGAAAGACACGAAAGTGGGTAACGAGTAAAACGATGTTTCCAGCCAGGTCTAAATTCTAACGCGTCTCAGGCACCAGGGACCCTCTGCCGCCCACACCACTGTGCTCCTCGTCGGCCCACAGCCAGGCCCCGGTGTGGGCGTCATCCTGCGCTGTCCCGTCCAGGGTAGACGGCATGTAAAGGGCACCCATCTTGCACTTGGGGCAGTGTTTCTGATGGCGTCATGCTCCCCACACGGAGGTGCTGGCCATCTGGGAGACCCTGATGTCCCTGTCAGCCATGTCTTGGGTGCCAGGGGCGCGAGGTTCTTCCAGGGCCCGCCTGCCCGCTTCCTTTTGCCCATCCGCCTAATTAAATCACCCCTTCTTCCAACTTGCCCTCCATAATGCCGCGTCAGAAGGGTAGCATGTCTCCCATGGGGCAGAGACAACTTTAAAGACACTGAGGAGACTTGCGGGTGCCCTTCCCGTGACCACGAACAGCGGCCATGTGGACATCAGGCCCCTTACAGTGACCGGGGAACTCTACCTGTTTCTGAGGAGGTAGCTCCCCCAGCGCTGTGGTTTGAAGGGAGCATGTTTATTTCTGGCTGTGGGCTTCTAAAGGAACAAGTACACTGTATGTTTGCTCAACAGGTAGATTCATTTGTATAGAAAGAGGACACGAAAAAAAGCTATTATTCTATTTATGAATAATCATTTCATGACATTGAGAGAATTCAAATTCATGTAATCTATTTTACCAAACAAACAAAAAAATCAACATTTATTTCTCTTGTCTAAATATTCTAATAAGCTTTATCTCATCAAGATTTCTTACCTCATATATCTATGGAACAACAATAAAAACGTTAACAGAACTGGGCTCTGTCAGCACGTGGGACCAACTTTCTCACCAGAAACGGCCCCACCCCGTGGCGCTGTTACTAGCAAGACAGGAAAGGTCTGGAGTCCGCTGTCAAAGTCACTTTGACAAAACAACTAACAGTTATTTCACTGTTCATCGATAAATAAAGAAGTGATAATTTTTGTGTTAAATGCCTTTAATAAAATTACTCATTTTTTACTCTCAATTATAAATCAGCCACGACTTTTCCACTTCTGTTTCTGAACTGTTTAAATTACTCGAGTGTTCGATACATATCCTTTCTCTGATGTGCACTTAAATCTAAATTGAGGAAAGGCTTTGGAAGAAGGCGGGGCAAAGGGACGTCTTTGAAGGGCTTTGAAGGGCACAGCCGGTCCCTGGATTCAGAGAATAAGCCTTTCATCTGCATATTTCCTAACGCTTTTGGAGAACAGAATTCTGAAATCGGTTTATTTTTTCAATACATATTTGTAAAAGGTAATTCCAACACTAAATACATGAAAATAAAAATTACAAAACCTATTAACAACTCATATATTTGTCATTTTAATCTTTAGAAGGCTACTTTACCTTGACTTCCCAGCTAAAACCACATTTGGTCTTTGCTGAAATCCTGGCGGAAGGGACCTTGGGCGAGACTACGCGTCCACCCCCGGGAAGAAGGACGCTGCTGGACTCAGAGAAACTGCTCTCGTTTCTGTGGATGTTCTGGTCAGTTTTAGTCAAAAGGAGACGGTGATCACTAGTTTCAGTGAAAAACAATAAAGCCTCCCTCTGTCTACCCTTGGCTTGTGTCCAAACTGCTTTCCAAACGTGACGTTTAGTTGATGGCCACTGTGGTGTACTTGTGGCTATGGAAAGCACTCTGAAGGGCGATTTCAGTGAAGAAATCCAATACTTTACAATTTCTGTTTCTCTGTGGCCCCCTATATTTCTCCTCTCCACCTTTTAAATCACCCACAAGTCACCTTTTATAAGTTATTTTTAAACTGGTCTGATATTTCATTTCACCTGTCAGGCTCTGCTATTTATAAAGTTTAAAGAACTTATTCATGATCAAATATAAGATACTTATGACAACAAAACTGTGTATGTCTAACAGAAAAATGAACTATTCATCTGCATTTTAAAGACATATAGCAATGACTTTCATACACAATTGGTCTTTGGTGTTTCATCTTCAAAATAAAAAATAATACATTTAGCTCAGACCTTTAAGCAGCGTTGTGACCACGATGTCGAGTTCGCATGATACGGTCATGATATAGCAAACGACAAGGCAGGAGGCCAAGACCAAAAGTAGGAGCATGCGTCCGCGTGAGAGCGCTTCCAGCAGTGACCAAGGAAACGGAAGTGACATTCAGCTCCAGAATGAGTGGGACACAGACTGAGAGCCACAGGATGAGAATGACCTGGGGCAAGTCCAACCGACCCAGGACTCAAGACCGACAAGGGCCAGCATGTCAGGGACAGTGGGGCGGTGATGAACGAGCCTGTCTCTTCACAGTCACTGGGTGGCCGGACATAAGGCAGCAACTGCCCAGCTTCGGACTCCTACGAGGCGGAAAAGGTGAGACTGGCTGTCTAAGCCACAGGCCATTAGGACTTGTCTTCCTGAGACCAAACGTGTTCCCAAATGAGGACCGAAGCACTGGGGAGAAAGAGACCCTGACCCTGTGTCCTAAGAGAGGAGAGATCCGAGCTCATGCGCCCATTTCCAGAAGGGACTGGGCACCGGGCGGGGGATCCCCAGCTTCGTTGTTCATGTACACACTGTCAAATCGGCAGCCTCACGCCCTTGCCAGCACGTGGTATTGTTGGGGCTGTTTAAGTTTCGGTCGGTCCAGTGAACATGCAGTGATATACACTGTGGTTTTAATTCGTTTTTGCCTTATAACTAAAGATGTTGAACGACTTTCATGTTCTTATGCTCTAATATCTGAAAAGAATCTTTTATTCTAGGGGAACTACTAAAAGTTTTTTTAAATGTAGTACAGTTGACACGCTAAAGAGAGAAAATGAAATCACAGAAAATGATCAATTAAAATGACAAAAGGCAGCAAAGAAAAGAAAAAAGCGAGAACAAGAATAGAAAACAGTAATACAGATGGCAGACAGTAATCCAGCAACACCAACCATCATTTTAAACATCAATGGTCTAAATATGCCTCAAAGGCAGAAATCGTCAGGACAGATCAAAAAACAAGACCCAACGGTACACTGTCTATAAGAAACCCACCTGAAATATAAAGACACGTGTAGATCAAAAGTAAATGGATGGAGAAAGATAAACCATGTTGATGCTGAATCAAGAAAAGCGAGAGTAGCTACGTTAATTTAAGACAGAGCGGACTTTGAAGCAAGAAAAGTGATCAGGGATTAAAAAAGAGCACTACATAATGACACGGGGGCCAATTCTTCAGTAAGACATAACAATCCTCGACTTGTACGTGCCTCGCAACAGAACAGCAAAACAGGAATGGCAAGAAATCACAGAACTCCAAGCAGAAATGGATGGATCGCAATCGTAGCTAGAGACTTCGACACTCCTCCACCAGAAACAGGAAGACCCAGCAGGCGGGAAGTCAGCAAGGCCGTATCTGAACTCATAACTTCACCAAATAACTGGACGTGTTCATGTCTCTAGACTACCCCATCCAACGAGAGCAGAAAACATATTCTTTTCAAGCTCACATGAAATACTCGCCATGAGAGAGCACGTTCGGGGCCTTAAATACACCTTAACAAACGTAAAAGAACAGAAATCATATAATGTATGTTCCTAGACAACAGAATTAACTGGATATGAACAGAAACATAGCCGGAAAATCCCTCTAAATATTTAAAGATTGAACATCACATTTCTAAATAACACGTCAAAAAAGAAATAAAGAAAAAAAAACATTTAGAACGAAATAAAAATGAAAATGTGACTTAAAATTTGTGGAATGAAGCAAATACAATGTTTAGAGAGGAACTTACAGCAATAAATGCATATACTGAAAAAGAGATCTAAAAAAATCTGAGCTTCCATTTTAGGAAATTATAAAAGAGCAAATTAAACGGAGAAGGAGGAGGAGGAGGATTAGAGCAGAAGTTAATAAAATTGAGAATAGAACACCAAGAGAGAAAATCAACCGAACCAAAAACTGGTTCATTGAAAAGATCAAAAAAATCAATAAGCCTCTCAGGTGTCTAAGAAGAAAAAAGAGAGGGTACAAATTAACGATATCAGAAGTGAAACAGGGAGACATCACTACAGAGCCCATGGACACTAAAAGGATGATCAGTAAAACTACAAACACCTCTACGCCCACAAGTCTGATGACCAAGATGAAGTGGACCAGTTTCTTGAAAGATACAATCTGCCAAAACTTACACGAGAAGAAAGACAATCTGGAAAAGGCTGTATCTATTAAAGAAATTTAAACAATAATTAATAAAGTTCCAACATAGAAAGAACCAGGCCCGGAATGGTTCACTGGTGAATTCTATCAAACACTGAAAGAAAAAAATTAGACCAATTCTCTATAATCTCTATCAGAGCTTAAAAGCAAGGAAAAGCTTCCTGACTCATTCCACGAGGCTCACACAACCCTAAGACCAAAACCTGACAAAGGCATTACAACGAAGCTACGGAGCCAGGGCCCTCTGAGCACAGGTGCGGAAGTCCTCCACTGGACATCATCACAGCAAAGCCAGCGCTGGGTTTAAGAATTCACACCACGACCAAGTGGGATTTATCCCAGGCATCCAGGGCTAGCTCATTATTCAAAAATAATGTAATCCATCATATTATCAACAGGCTAAAGCAGAAAATCACGTGATCATATCAAGGGATGCAGAGAAGTCATGTGACAAAACCCGACACCTGTTCATGATGAAAACGCTCAGTGAACTAGGCACGGGGGCAGCTTCCTCAACCTGGCAAATGTCTACAGGTGGCATCGCACCTGATGGGGAGAAATGGGACGCTCTCCCACCGCGATCAGGTGTCGGGCTCAGATGTGCTTTCGAATGCGTCCTTCTGCAAAAAAGACAGGAGGAGGGAGCGAAGGCGCGCCGACTGCGAAGGAGGAAATAAGACCGTCTTTCTGCACGGACGACGTGACTCTCCATGGAGCAAATCCTAAAGGAGAGACAAGGACACGCCTGGACCTAGGCAGCGGCTGCAGCATGGGTGCAGGATACGAGGGAAACTGCTTCCCTATAAACCAGCAACGAACAGGTGGAACTGGACATTAAAAACACCTTGGCGCCCCCGACAAGCCTCGGAGCACCCCGGGTGAGGCGTGAGCTCTCGGAGCCGGAGGATGCGCTCGCCAGCCTGGGCCGCGGAGCGCGTGGGGTGCGACCCCTCGTTTGTGAAACAAACATGTGACTGTCACCCGGCTCTCTGCCTGATTCTGACCACATGGAACGTCCGTATTCCTGACGCCTGTAACTAGAATGCACGTTTGTACATCAATAAAGTGGAATTCTGGCTTTGTAGGTCCATCAGATTAGCTTGGATAACAAGATTTCGATTCTGAAAAATAAACCCGTTCTCATCTGCTTTGGAATCTGAGGCCCATGACCAAACCTGGGGCTGTGACCAATTCAAGGATCCTCTTGTAAAATGACTGCCCTCTAAAAGTGCCCACTCCAATTCATATTTACTTACCCTCACAATGCTCTGTCAGCAATGTCATCAAATAAAGATCACCAAAATCAACATAAAAAGCACATAAAACAAAGAAAACACATACATACATATGTTTACAAACATATACATATATGTTTACATTTCTTCTTTCAAACATAAATTTATGCCCTATGACATCTGTTTTAAAAGATAAACTCGTTCCCAACACACTTCCTGGGCTTCGAAACGTCTGAGAACAACGTTTACCTATGCGACTGGTTATTGAGGTTCAGCGACCCGGTCTGGTGCATCTCTTCCAGCTGCTTCCTGTTCCCGAAGTACAAGGCCAGGTCTGTGGCGATGATGGCCTTGCGGATGATCTCCAGCACCTGCTCGTACTCGCCGGAGCTCAGGGTGGAGAAGATGTTGTGCCCTTCCAGCTGCGGAAAACACAAACACACACCGCCGATGACCAGCACGCTCTAGCCGCGGGGCGTCTCCACTTACTTGACACAGTAAAGGCAGCCGATGGGTGGCATCTGGCACACAAATGACAGCTTTGCGGGGAACAAACAAATTGAAAAATGAATTGAATTAACGTCTTGGTTTCTCTTTAAGCTGCGACAGTGAAGCTGCCACTTACATGAACGGCTTAAACCACAGTGACACCATTTGCCACTGCGAAGCCCCAGTGACCTAACTCTGTACCTAGCTTTTGGATATTTCTAGTAAGTAATGCAAGGACTGAAAAATGCAAAATATTTAAGTAAAAGACTTTTCTTCTTAAACTAGTTAAAACTTTAGTAATCAATAGGCTTAAAAAGCCTCCTATACCCCCGTCCACTTCAGCGAGCCTAATGAATACTAAACTATTTTTTCTTTATCTTAGAAGAAAATGTCTCACGACCTCAAAATAAAGTTTATTTAAGCATATTAAACACCCCCCTCCCCCCAGAGGAGAACAGTTTCACATAAAATACACATCATCCAGGTTTAAAAACTGCAGGCCACCTTGTCGTGTCCTGTCCTCTGGGGAGGCGGGACACAGCAGATGGTCATCCTGAACAAGGCCCAGAGGCGGTCATCCAGACCCCGCCGTCTCAGGATTAGTCTTCTATACGTGAAACTTTTACAAACTTTTTACAATAATTCCTTTCTCTTAGAATTTTAAGTTCTTATTTGCAATTGAGATACAAATGGGTTGTTTTTGTTCAAACAAAAAAAAAAGGTTGAGATAAATGAGATGCATTAGAGTTCATCAATTCTTTTTTAATGACTTCATTATTAGTCATCATCACCCTACCATAAATTGATTTTTAATTGTTTTCACTTGTCTTAAGCCAATTATAGGCTGATAAAATATGTTAAAAACTTGAAATTATTAAAATGCATTTCTTTATAAAACCAGACATCTCGCTGAAACGCTGCCTGCTCCCTACTGCTCTGAAGTAAAGCTCCCTGTGTGCCCCTTGTTTTCAATCGTCAGAATCTTTCTGTACTATACTTACTCTTAAGGTCTTACAGACATGTAAAGGAGCCCATGACAGACGCAGCGAACACAGTCAGTGCTGGCTGCCCGCTTTTCTGACAGAGGGAGGATAAGGCCCTCCGCAGAACGCTTTATATTAGAAAGCGCTTTCACATACACGATTTCATGTTCAAGTTACAAAATTTAAATAAGTCTTTGGTATCTATCTGAAATGAAACATCGGCTGCAACATTAACGACACTTCTCCTTGACTAAGAGAAGTGGCCTTGCTTCCATCCACTGGTCACTTCAGCCATTTTGAGTGGCACGGTCCCATCTGAAGTAGCTTTCACGAACATGACAGGGCCGAAGAGGTGGCTGTGAAAATGCCGGGCACCTGCCCCACGTGAAGAGGAGCCAGCCAGCTGTGCAGTCCTCTGCTCCCTGGGGACACGGGGAGATGCTGCGGGCTGCTGTCAGGCACAGGCTGGCCCGTAACGGCGGGGGGTGGGGGGGATCCAGGCACTGGGCGGGTGGCCGGCATGGCCACCGTGCCAGCCCCATCCGAGCTCACCTCTCTACAACCGTCTAGTGGAACGCTACGAAAGCATCTCTCCTCGGACTTCAGCTATGAGAGCCACTTTACTGCGATCTGACCGCAACTCGAGGGCAGCAGGTGGCCTCCGCGTCCCCACATGCTGCCTGGGGACCCGAGCCCCCGGCTAAAGCATGCTAACTGTAGTGTGCCTGTTTGTCCCCACGCCCACATCTGCCACCACAGGCCGCCTGGAGAGGAATCGCAGACCCATCCACGTGCACATGCTCTGTCCTGTCACCAATAAACCACTCCGTTATAGTGTGTCAGAGTATTCCAGCACGCTGCTGACTTCCCTAATCTCTCTAAAATACGGATATCCTATATCCGGGGTCTTTAAATTCTCTTGGGGACCACAAACTGATGAACTGACTGCAACTCTATATATGTTGAGTGTGTCATTCATAATCACATGTTTTCATCAGATCTAAAGACAGTGTTCATGGTCTACGACAAATTAAAAACTGTTTTAAAGGATGCGCATGTTCCGGCTACTTCAGATTCATTATTTCCTGTACTGCTGTTCAGTATTACAGAAATCCGGTAGGGGTGGTCCAGGAGACCCTCGTGGAGACGGGTTGCAACCGGGAGCCTGCCGCTGGCCCCTTCACACTGTCCGAGAGTGAGGGGACGAATGAACGAACGAGGAACAAGTGGGAGGACCCCTTCCCCCGAGAGATTCTAGAATATAGTTACTAACTTTTCTCTCTGAAAACATAAGAAAATAAGAGATAAACAAGCAACTGAACACACCAGATAAATGGCTTAAAGTATCTTTAAAGCTCTAATTTCGCATTAGTTACTAATATGATAAAACTTCATAAAGTAATATAATACTTTTATGTCCCAGTTGATAAACCTAGTATAGTTAGTACCCTGGAATACATTGTGCGACACTGACACCCCATTTTGCTCCAATCAAGCATGAAATATCACGCGTGTTTCCCCAGGAATGTTGCTAAATAACCCCAAACGGGAGAGCGGCGTGATTCATTCCTGCCGCAGCGCCAGCAGAGGAGTGGGCTCGGGAGACGCCGTGTCCTGACACGAGGCAGCCAGACACGGCGACCACCACCAGGACGCGCCCCGTGCAGGAGGACGCCCGCCGGCGCCCGGCTCCCCAACACGAGTGGCTAAGGAGCTCGCCAGGGGCAGCGGCTCGCCAGAGCCGCACATTTCCTCCATGACAGAGGGACAGGGGTCTGTGTCTGGCAAACACGCAGTCTGCAGAGTCCCCTCTGTCGGGGCATCGGCAGTGCCCACGGCCTCGGTCACTGCAGGGAGCTCGCAGGGTGGTGGGGGACAGCCCTGAGCACCAGCACACGGCGCTGGGCTGGCCTGTGGCTGGAGGGGTGGGCGGAGGGCAGGGTGGGGACAGGCACCTGCAGGCCGACAGGAGCAGCACCAGGCCACCTGTGTGGTGGAACTGGGCAGGTGTCACTGTGGTCAGTGCGGGCCATTGGGAGAGTCAGTGCGCATTAAACGGGGGATGTCTCATAAACTACACACATGTCTAACCAACGAGTATACTTGAAACTAATAAAACAAAGTTTAAAAATAAATTAAAAATGAAGGAGTTTCAACAAAAAGGGCTGGGACAGACTGAAATGTCGTGTGGGACAGAAGGAGGGGCTGGGGATTCTTGGCGACGAGGTCTGTGTGTTCGAGAACAATCGCTCTGGCACCGATGCGATCGCAGGCCGGGCAGAACAGGGGAAGCAAGACGAACTGACCGCTCGGCCCCCGGCACGCTCTGAAGCGCCATTACTGATCGTCGTGACCCCACAAAGCCCCGGCTGCTTAGCTCCGTAAGATTCCGAGGGAAGGGCCTAGGAGCTCAGCTTCCAGCACGACCTGCACACAGCCATGGCCCCGTCGCCGGACACAGAATTCAGATGTGGCCTACTGAGTGCCTTATCTTCTCTGAAAACGGGAGCGAGGACAAACGTGTCCTTGTCATCACCTCACTGGTGACCAAAACCCCAGCTCTAATACTCGGAAGCTGACTATCGTCCAGCGACTTTCTGGACGCCAACGGCTTCGCCTGAACTTCATTCACTGCCAGGAGCTCCGACTGTCCTAGGGGCACCGCCCCGCTGAGGGTGCTGACAGCGACCAGACCACTGAGACGCTCCGCTGTCGCCGGCGGCCGATGCGACGGGCCCCTCCCCCGTGCTGGGTCGCCGCTGTTTCTCAGGCTTTGCTGTCCATGCTCCTCCCTTTACGAATGAACCGCCTCCCATGACGGGTAAGGTCGAAGCAGACACAAACCGTCACGACGTTCTACCACGCGCGTGTATTTACAAAAAGCACGTCTTACACGTTTGCATATACATACCTATACAGAGATACACACACACACGATCACACTCACACCCTTTTATCCCGCTTAAATTTCGAGGTGTGCACATAGCGATATTTACCCTTCCACACGTACACACATATACGTACGACGTTAACCGTGAAGGAAGCGCTGGTGTCGAGGGAGCTGCAGCATGTGACTGCGCCCTGCCTTCCGGGACCACGGGGCAACCCGCTGCACGTGGCTGGAAAACGCCTGACATCGCTCCGTGTCTGAAACACCCTTCCCGTCCACCCGCGGGTGACCAGAATCGCAGGACACGTCGGGCAGCTCAGCTACCGCCTCTGGCCACAGCCTTCCTGCTTCACGGCTTGCCATGGCCGGTCACTCTAAGTCAAACCTCCCACAGACACACAGTCCGAAGACCCAGCGAGGGGCTGACAGTGCGAGGAAGACGCGGGGTCCAGGCGATAAGTCAGAACACGTCTGTGACGGGAACGAAGCCATTCTGAGGGAACAGCTTCCCCGTGA